CTGCATTGTAATTCCAGGATTAATGGGAATCAATGCTTCCATGCATGGCTGGCTTTAGGATGGAGGCTGTTCCTCAGGAGAGCATTGTCCTCGTGGTTCAAGGAATTTGAAATCCTTTCCTTACGTGGGGATAACCCCTGGATCCTGCAAGTCCTTTCTGGACTGTCAGGGAACACCTTCCTTTGTTAAAGGTGAATGATGGAGTCTGGTCACCACCTGCCTGTCTCGTGTCATAAAAWCATTGCAGAATGSTTTGGGTYGGGAGAGAYCCTAAAGTTCATCTCATTCCAACCCCCCACTATGAACAGGGACACTTCCCACCAGATCAGGCTGCTCAGGGCAATTTAGAGGCATTTGATTCCCTGTTCTCCCCTAATTGKAGGATTTATATTGCAGCTACTGGAAGTAGAATCACCTTTTTGGGGAAAACAAAAATTACATAAGGTGTTTCTTTTTTGCCTGTGCATRGGAAGAGCAAGAAATAGTTCCCCCTCTTTTCTGGTTACAGGTTTCATAACTTGGTTATATGGGTATTGAGCTAAAGGTATTTCCTTTAGAAGTGTCCCTAAAACTGGGAGAGCACTCTTGCTTTTAAGAGGAATATTGTTTAAGTGTTTAAAAAGTGTTTAAGACCATGTTGGATGGAGCTCTGAGCAACCTGGTCTGGTGAAAAGTGTCCCTGCCCATGGCAGTGGGGTGGAATGAGATGATTTTTGAGGTTTCCTTCAGCYCAAACCATCCYRTGATTCTRTAATTCTGTGAATACAAGTGAGAGGAGCAGTAAAGCATGAGAGAATAAATAAAGCACATCCCTGTACTGGGATTTTCCTGCAGCAGAGCCGCTGGTGTGTAAGGAGCCATCCATTACATGTGGAGTCCAGAGACCAATTCCCTTTTCAGAGCTCCTCTGCAGGAGCTGTTTCTGAATTATAAAGTGCTTTTTCCTTCTGCTGCTTCTTTAAGTTGCTGCTGCTCTGTCAGGGTTGAGTAACGACAAGAATTGATCACTTTGCCCTTGCTAATGGCCCTTTACATCTTTATTGGCATGTCCTGTGTGTCCCCCTGCACTCMCCATTTCTCAGGGTGCAGGACTCTTCATCTTTCTTCATGCAGATCTTTATCTCCAAACCCATTCTTTTTTGCTCTTTCCATTGCTTTCCTCTGAGTGCAATCYCTTTATTCTGCTTCTTTTGCAAAGACAAAGACTCTCGAGGCTGCCAGCTAMATGAAGGACAAAGCCACAGCTGGATTTTGTCATTTTGGCCAAATCCTTGCTGCTGTGTGCTTTCAGACGGTTGAGTGTTTTTATCTGGTATTGTAGAGCATGTTAGGAGTGGCTGAGGGAGCTGGGATTGTTTATCCTGGAGAAAAGGAGGGCTGGGAGGAACTTACCCCTTCCTGAAATGAGGTTGGAGCCAGGTTAAGGTCGGTCTCTTCTGCTGTCAAGCAGTAGAGCTAAAGGAAATGGCCTCAAGCTGCACCTGGAGAGGTTCAGGTTGGATTTTGGAGAAATTTCTTTATTGGAAGGATGATCAAGCATTGGAACAGGCTTTTCACCCAGGGAACACCCAGGGAAGTGGTGGAGTCCCCATCCCTGGAGGRTTTAAAAGCCCTGTAGATGTGGCATTTGGGGACATGGTTTAGTGTCAGCTTGGCAGTACAAGACAAGATTGGGCTCAATCTTAGAGGTTTTTTCCAACCTTAATTCTGTGATAAAGCTGGGGACAGTGTGGCCACGTTGTCACATGTCCTTGCAGTTAAATCTGGTTGCACTGTAGCGATGCCATATCCCAAATTATCCCCCTTCCCCTGCACCACAACTGTGGTGGGGAGGGAAAATGTGACACCACAGCTGTCCTGCCGAGTGACATTGACATGTCACCACACAACAAACCAGCATCCTGCTTCCAGAACACCCTGTAATGATCTTCCCTGGATGCTGCTGTCGCTCATCCTGAGGGCTGTCATATGTGGGGTAAATAAGAGGATCTGCCTGCAAATTCCTTTGTCCCAGGCAGTAAAAATCATGGATTTATTGATCATATCTAATCCATGAAAAGCCATTAGGTGGTCACAATGTGATTATGTAACAACTGATGATTTTGTATCACRTCACATGATAATCACCCTAATGTGRTATCTGTTAGGTCCTGTAAATAATTCTGGAATCTTTTAAGGATTGACTTTYAACGATTCCTTTTTAAGGATGCACCTCCTGAAAAAAAAGGGAGAGGTGGAAGGGTGGCAGAAGTGTGAGTTCTGCTATAAAATCAGCTCACAGCAAGTAGAATTAAGGGCAGTCTCACAGAAAACTTATCTTCCCATGAGTTTTCACCTGAAATTTCAATTTTTACCTCATTTTTTTGATGGAGGTTTTGTTTTGGAGTTTAATATTTCAAAAATCTAAGCAGAGCCCTGCGAGTGAAATCAGAGTAAGTTCCATTTCCTGTGACCTGTTGCCACCTGCTGCCTGAGAATAAAGATGATTCATTTAAGTGGCAAGCAGCATTTCCATCAATTTTGGAAGGGATGGATGCTGTTGAGAGCTCGAAAGGGAATCACAAAGAGAGAAGAGCTCTGAGCTGGTGTAAATCAGCACAGCTTGGGAAAATCCTGATTTGCTCCAGCTGAGTGTGTGGTCATCAGCTGAGCTGGAAGGGCTGATGATGTTTTCATCATCTGGTTGGAAGGGCAGAGCAAATTGACTCAAACAATTCCTTTTTAAAGCAGGCTTTGAAGTCAGTGGATTCAAATGTGACAGTTTGCTGAAGAGAAACAGAATTTATATATAATATATCTTCTCAGCAGCATCACTTACAATGCCCAATCTAATCTAAATCTTGGATCCAGATCCAGATAATTGTCTTTTATGAGTTTGCAGCTCTTATCGGGACTGGAAAACCCACCCAGATTTAGATGTTTGGTTTAGACGTGGGGCAGATCTGTTCTCAGGTGGGGTTGCCAGATTTCTTGTTGCACACTAGTGGCAGTAGCATCCACAGAATATGTGTACCAGCCGTGTTCTGGAAGACCAGATCATTCAAGGAAGCAGAATTGTCTCTTAGAGACCTTTTCYAGCAGCTTTTATTGAATTTGATGGTTTCCCCTTGCTGCTGGAATTACTTCATCTACGTTGTGTTTGCTGCTACTTGCATGGAAGGCACATCTAGAGAGGTTCCTTATCAACCGAATCTTATCTTTCCATTCAGATTTTCTGCCTCTCTGATGTTTTTTTTTCCTTGCACTTGCTGCTTAGCCAGATTTATGAATGTACCACCACAAATGACAGCAAAGAGAGATTTCAGTATAATGAGGCAGATTTCAGAGAATTGCARTGAGTAACTTCTGTTTAGGAGTTGTTTGGTTGAGGGCTGTCTGCTGGTTTCTTTTGGTGTTTTTTAATAATACTTTGAAATTATAGTTCATATTGGGCATTAAAGAGCAGCGTTTGCCATCCTCTGTAAAATTGCAAGGTATCAGATTATGTCGTGGCCTTTACCTTACATGKAGGTCTCATAATGCTTGTTCTAATWAAAAAAAAATCCATTTCCCTGCTCCCTTAGGTAAATTACATTCCTTAATTGCACCTCTAAGGAGCACATCCGAGTGTGGACAGGTTGTAGGAATATTTGCAATCAGAGTATCATTCTAACTGAAAATAAACTGTCACTTCAGTGTGTGGTCATTGCAGAACTGCTGTAACAATCCTTGAAAAGCTCTTAATGAAGCCAGGGTGTCCTTCCCTGCTGTCCAAACCTGTATCCAAGCTTTGTTCAGGTAAAACTCTCATTGGGCCTGTGAGGTAACCAGCAAGTAAACATTAAACCCATGCTCATAGATCAGGAAATGGTAAGCAAGTCCCATGTAAGTACTGCAAAGCGTGTGTCATGGTATCTGTCCTGTAATTTCTTGTCTTGCCTGTTTTTGTTTGTATTTGGAGGTTTTCTTGTAGCTGCACTTGTTATTCCAGGTCTGGTTTGTGAAGTTAAGAGCCCCCAGAGAAATTCTCCTCATATTCTTGGTGCATCAGTGCTGCCAAATGTATGGATAAGTGACAGCTTAAAATCTYCCAAGTCAGCTGTTAAAATTGTTTGGAATCTTTTTTTTTCTGGGGAGAGATGGAAGCCCAAAGAGGCAAAGAGCTGCTTTCCCATTTGCAGGGCCATCATTCACAGCTTAAGGGGAGATTCCTGGGGCAGCACTTGCATCACAGAAAACGCCTTTGTTGGGGTTTTTGCCTTGTGAATGGAGATGTGGCTTGAATCTGAACTTAATATCCACCAGGAATAAGCAGACTTACAATAATTGTCAAATATGAGACAAAAAAAAAGCTTTTTTTTTTTTTTCAAAGCATCAGCTGGGGCGATCGCACGAGAGAGCAGAAAATTTTCTGACCTCAGGGAAATTAGGTCAGGTTTCAGTTSTCAGTGTCACAGGGACCATCAGCTGCAGGGTAGAGGAGCGACACAAATATTTCAGTCTGCGCATCCGCTCTTTGCTTGTCCWTTGTAGTCACCTGAAAGCGTGACACGTCCCAGTGTCGGTGTCTTCCATGTGCTGTGGAAGTCCAAGTGTCTGTGACCCAAGTATCAACAGCCATCGTGACAGACTAGTCTCGCTGCAACTGTTCCCCTTCCCCCTGGCAAMCTGCAGTGATTTGTATTTTGTCTCCTTTCCTCGGGGAAAAGCCGTGGTGGTGGTGGATATGGGGCAGAGCGGGAAGGGCGTGGAAAGGGGAGGGAGGTTTGTGCATCCTTCCTCCCCACCTCCCGTTTTTCTGCATGGCTGCACCTTGGGGAAGYTGTCCCTTCCATCTGGGTAGTGTGAGTGTGCAAAGCCTCTCCCTCCTTCCCTGGGAGAGGGGCTCAGGAAATGTCTCCCAGGCGGAGATGTTGGCTGGAGAAATCTTGTGCAGCCTTGTGGGGTCGGGAGGCTGAGTTAGAATCCTTCCTGGAAGGGGGTGAGGTGGGGCTGAGCTCTCKTTCCCTCTCCCTTGACAGGGCATCCCTGTGGAGCTCCTGCGTGGTGCTGCCCYTGCTGGCTCTCACCTGGATGTCTGCAGTCCTGGCCATCACTGACCGGCGCTCGGCGCTGTTCCAGATCCTTTTCGCCGTCTTYGACTCCTTGGAGGGATTTGTCATCGTTATGGTCCATTGCATCCTCAGGCGGGAGGTGAGAGGGACGAGTCGTTATCTTTTATAAAATCAACTCATTTCCCATAAAAAAGAATCACCTCAGAAAGTCCAGCCAGCCTGGTGACTTCTCTTACCCTACAAACTTTTGTSTTTGGGGATGTGATGACCACAAAATTGACCGTGACATTTTCARTCAGAGGGGAGGAAGGGTGAATCAGAGTGGGATTTGGTGGGCAGCCTTAAAGGAGATAATGTACCAAGCTTTGCTTGTTTACCACCAAAATTCACATTTCCAGAATGTTTACACCCCACCTCCAAAAAGGCAACRTTAAAAAATTCATTTGTTTGATTTCAACAATTCTGCCCTGAGATTTACAGGATGATTTCTGTGCTGGCATTAACACCTTGATATTCCAGCTAGGAAGTACAGCCAGCAATAATCAGGCAAGGAAATTGAGGAAATTCTCTTTGGCCTCCCTGTGGAGATTTAGGATGGTGAATTATATCAGGGAAGAAAAGGACGAATCTTTTATGTTTCTTTTATTCTTTTCTTCCTACTGAGTGGAGAGACTATTAATAATAAAGACAGGAAAGGGCTTTTTTTTCAATATGCATTTGATCTTCTTACAGTTCCTTTAAATTAAGTAAAAAAAAAGAAACAGATTAATTTCTTATGTCAGGCCAATGAAATCAATGGAATTACACCACTGCCTTGGCTGAGACTCCTTCCACTAATTGCATTATGAGTATGAGCCTGCATTTAACTCTCATTGCAGTCACTGGGCTTGGTTTGGGGTTTTTTTTTCCAATTATTTCAGTGAGTTTGGGATCAGATTTATATTACAGGATCATAATCAGACTTTGTAGACACCAATATGGTGATTTATGCAGGAGCATCCATTGTAAACATTGCAAGCTGCAAAATAAAGGACATTTTTATCCCTGACTATATAAATCAGGCAAATAAAAGCAACCTATGCAGTGACCCAGGATTGCTGGAAAACCTCTGAGTTGCTCTTCAGTGTGTGAAATATGTAACACATAAACCACGTGAAAGAAATGCCTGGGTGCTGCTGATGCAGGGTCCGTGTTCTTTTGCTCTAACAAGAACTGGTTTTTTTTATTTTTTATTTCAGCAGGATTTAATGTGGTTTGCTCTGTCTGACTCTGACCTTTGCCAATCTGTTGCTGCAGGTGCAGGATGCTGTGAAATGCCGGGTTGTGGATCGTCAGGAGGAAGGGAATGGAGACTCAGGGGGGTCATTTCAGAATGGACACGCTCAGCTGATGGTAGGAAAACTCCCATCTCCTCTGTCCTTATGGGATTTATGGGAATTTTTAACTCCTAACTGATGAGCACAGGGCTCTRTCCATCACAGATCCTGAAATCACCGTTCTTGTTTCCTTTAAACTTCTGCTTGAGCACACAAAGCCCTTAAAACATTTTCACACAAATCTGAGGGGTTGCCTCAACATTTTAAGATTCACAAGCTTACACAGCAGGTGTTGCAGACATCTTGGTGAGATCCTTTCTTTCCCAGAAAAAAGAAAGAGCAAGATTAAACCTCCCAGGTCTTCCAGCCTTTTTCATCCCCATCTCTGCCTGGTCCTGGCTGGCGCTGGGAGGTGGCAGTTTAATACTGTTTTAATCACAGTCTGTGGGGTGATTATCATAAAGATGCTGTCTCAAAGGGATTTGTTTCTCTCAAAAGCACACTTTGCTTCGCTGGGAATACAGGTAAATCTTTGTCCTGTTGTGTGAGCTCTTTACAAACAGTAAAGGAATGAGCTGTGGGGCTTTGTCCTGCATCTACTTCACTGTTGTGATGTAGTTGATACAAGAAACATTTAATTTCTGAGGTTAAGGTAAAGAAATCAGGAGAATCAGAGTATCTGAACAACTAACAAAAGCCTCTGGTTAATATTAGAGCTACAGCACAACCCAGTGATGGTTTTTTTCCAGTCACTCCTTGTGCTTGGGTACGAGTCTTCCTTTCAAACAGCAAAATTCTGGAGTCAAGACATCAGGAGGGGTTTAATTCCACCACACCTCAGTGGTATTTGCTAAAAACAGGTGCCTCATTTCTCATTTAAATGCAGAGAATTCTCATTTTCAGACAGGTTCTCGCTCTGCCTAATTGTGGGTAATTAGAAAACCCCTTGCATGCCTGGTGCTTTGGCTTCTTCARTAATAGACACCATAATCACATCCAGTCTTAATCTTCCTTTCTRTAAGTTAACACCCAGAGCTTTTTTATATTCCCTCTGTAAATCACGTGCCTTCAAATTATTTATATATGTAATTCATATAATAATTATATATTACAATTATTTATAACTTCGTATACTCAGCGTCCTGAAAAAAATGTGGATTACACCAATGGAATTACATTTGACATTCTGCTGTCACATYCCAAGTTTTAGGGGTTTATATCTCTGCACAATTCCCCATTTTCCATTCATTACCAACCACCTTGCAAAATCCTGTGTCAGCGGCAAGTTTTTTAGCAATGTTGCATTTCCTCCTGTGCTGCTGGTGGGTGAGTGRAGGAGCAGGGAGCTTACAATCACTTTCCTCACATCCCAGCACAAAAAGCTGCCGAGTCTGGCTGTGAATGATGACTCCTCACTGATATTTTTAGAGGGGTGTGATGTTGTTTTGTTGTAAAATCACCAAAGAAATCCAAAGCTTTGCAGGGTGGCATTTTTTGCCGTTACCTTTCCTGTTAATCTCCAAATCTGCCCAACTAGTGAAAAGGAGCTTAGCTGAGTAGAACTGTTTTCCCCAACAAAATCTTGTTGGCTGGTATTAAATATAAACYTATCTTTCATTTATTTATCAGCAGAACTAGTGCAGCCTGTTCAGCTGYGTTTTTCTGGAGCTCCTCTCATGAAAATGAGATTAAACTTTTCTGTGTCATCCCATTTGCCCATCCAAATGTTAGTTCAGTCRTATTTCTCTTCTTTTCAGATTTGTTTGATATCCCAAATAATTKACTGGGAAATTAACATCAAGAAGGTTGAGAGAGTTCAGAAATTCCTGCCTCTCAACCTGCTGATATTAAAGTGTTTATCCCAGGGGGGTGGGGATTTTCCCCACATTCTTCTAAGTATTCAACTGGATTTCATTTCATCACGTTAATACAATTATGTGAAGTGTCTTTCTGAAATGATACCAGAAATAATCAGTGAACTCTTCTACCTTTTGCCAGTCTGCAGCTTCCCCATTACTCCATGAAAGCTCCCAGCCYGCTGTGACTCAGTTTATCCAGTTCTTTGAAATGTTATCTGCTSAAAGCTTCAGAAAAGGGATTAACTCCTGCTGGGAGAAGAAAGGAGTTCCCTTTGGCTGTGCAGACCACTTGAAAAAGTTATTCAGCCTTTGTGCCTGCAGGAGCCATTGATTTTATATGTTAAGAGTTTCAGAAGCAGAGAGTTGTTCCCACTCCGTGTGACTCGGTGACAGATCACAAGAAAGCCCGGTGGGGATGGAGCGTTCCCAGCAGGATCCCCAGATCCCTTTAACAAGTGGAGGGGAATCCACTTCAAAATTATGTGTGGAATGATTCATCCAGGATAGTTTGGGGTGGGAATCTGTTCCCTGTTTTATTAGAAGTGAGCATAAACGTGTTCCAGGGAGATATTTTAATCTGCAGCCCAGCAATATGTGAATGGATGAGCAGATGGACCCCAGYTGGAAAGCAGTGTTCCAGCTTTATCAGCGATAAAATTCAAAAGCCAACAGGTGGAAAAAAAAAGTTGTCTGTGTTTCAAAATCCAAACAAAACCTCTCTCTTCCACTCTTCAGGAAATGGCTGTKCCCACCTCACTGATTAAGGGGGGGGAGGTTTGCATTTTCCAGATTGTTTTCTGTCCTYCACCACCTCCTTTTACCATGCCCTCTGTGTTCTCTGTCTTTCAGACCGATTTCGAGAAGGACGTGGACATGGCTTGTAGATCAGGTGAGCACATCACAGGTGAGAATCAGCAAGTGACCTGGTTTGGGGATTGAACTAGGCCATTATTTCTTTCTTTCTGTTTCCTTTGTTTGTGTCTTGGTGCCCTGCATGTCCTCCTGTGGGTTACTCTCAACGCTGGCCAAAAGAAAGCAACACCCTGAGTTCTCCCTTTTGCTTTTCCTGTTTTCCTGTAGCTCTTTTGGCCTTTTCAATCAAGCCTTGTCTCTGAGGTGTTATTTCTTGCTGTGTAACACAGTGGGGGAGAAGAGCATCAAGGAAGAAGAAATGGGATCCATCTCTTCCTGCTGTGATCCTTCTTTGTTCCATCAGATCCTGCCCTTGTGGGGTCATCCCAACCCCGGGCAGCTCTGTGCTCAGGAAGGGTGTTTTTGTAGAAAGTCTGGAGTCTGGAGAGCCTTCCCACCACTCCACCTGGCTCCAAGCACTYGTCTGTGAAGTTGTGGAAGTGGTCAGCTCTCCCCTCCATGCTCCTTTCTGCTGTGTGTTCGTCACACAGGTTCCTTTGGATCCCGAGGATGTGCATGAGTTGAAAGCCCCTTTTCCCAGTAATCCATGGGGTGGCTGTGCTGCCTGATTCTCCCTGGCTGCCTGTTCCTCTCTGCAGCTCTCCTGCTCCTGTCATGCCTGACCTTTTGGCTGAGGTTGTTTTTCTTACCCTTTGTAGATATCGAACCTTTCATTTGCCCTCCCAGACTTCTCCCCTCTTCCAAGCAAGAGAAATACCGGCTTGCTTGGAACTTGCATAGGATTCATATCTTCCAAACCAGGATCTTCCCAAGCCAAGGACAGCACACTCCCTGTGTTCAGTTACTCCTATGGCAAAGATTCTCACTCTCTCCTCTTCTCTGTCTTTTTATTGATCTTTCTTTCTTGCCTGCCCTCTTTCCTTTTTCCTTGTCTTCTTTTCTTCTCTCCTTCTTGCCCTGCCCTGCCTTTTTTCTACTGCTCCTCCTCTCTCTCTTTCTATAAACATCTACCTGTCCTTTTCATTTATCTCTTTCTTTATCTCATCTATCATTTATTTATCTGCTTCTAATGTATTTATCTATAATTCATCTCTTTCGTTCTGTCTCACAATCACTTATTTATCTCTGTCCTCAGCTGTCTCTCTTGCTGTACCTGTTATTTATGTATTTCTGTCTGTCAACATTTGTCCCTGTCACCGTGTTGCTGTGTATTGTCTGTCACTGTCACTATCATTTATCTGTCTAATATCTATCTATATCTTATTTATCTTTTCCTGTCCTTCTCTCTGCCTCAATCCCTCTCCCTGTGCTTATCACAGTCACAGTATATTGATCTCACTTACCCCTGTGATATCTTATTTCATGGTCTCTTTCTGTCCATTTATCTCTTTTCAGGGTCTGTCCATTTTTTTTGTCTCTCTGTTTCCCTGTCTCACACTCTCTAMTCTAATTTCTAGCTGTCTGCCTCTTCTCATTTGTCTCCCTCCTTCTCTTTTGACACCGAATATCTCAGTCCCAAAAAATCACGTTGTGTTTGAGGCCGTGTCTGAATGGAGGGGATGCTCAATGAGCATTCACCAGGCACAGAATCAGCTGTAAACCACAACAGATTCTTGCTTTAAAGGAGCCTTTCTGRATCTGCCACAGCACCTCTTAATTCCAGATCAAGTTTCCCAGAGGAAAGGGAGGATTTCAGGGCAGGAGCCCCTGGATCAGCAGCTTGCCAACACCCTAAGCTTCCCCTCCTTTGGCAGCATCCAGCTCCACAAATTTGGTGTATTTGATTTGTTGCTGTCTGCCTGGAGGGCTTCTCCTCCTCTCATAAAGTGCTGTTAGATTGTGCCAAGATAATAATAATAAGTTAATAATAAACCAAATTTCAGAGACCTTTCAGAGTGGTGCATCATCCCATGCATTCTGCTTATTGAAAAAATAAAAACCAGGAACCTGTCCAGTGGTTTCTGGCYATCATTTCTCCTGGAAGCACCAACTCCAGGATGGATTGGAGACGTGACTGATACCACTCTTAACTCCCTGACATACATCCCCTGGTAGGATTTGCTACAGGGCTTGGTGTTGAAGGCTCACTCCATTCCATACTTGTAGATTGCCAAGTGGAAACCTCTCCAAATATATTTCCTGCAGCTGATGTAAGCACATAGAAAAGCCTGGATCAATAAACTTTGCTGGGACTCCCTGGTGAAGGGTTTGACTTGCTCTCATTTATCCCAGGGATGCCAAGGTGATTGTGCCTGCCATGGTTTTAAAAATTGCAGAGTTTTTAGGTTTAAAAGCTTTTGAAAAGTTCTTTTTATTCTTGGTGTTCTGCTCATCCTGCCCTGCCTGTTCTGGAGTCTTGGAGGGGAACTTTGATCTTCCCTCACTCCCCCTCTGAGCTGGTAGGAAAATCAGCCCTCAGTGCCATGGGGCGTCCATGTCCCACCTCTATTCCAGGTGGAACAGCTGAATAATGTCAGGTTACCCCAAAAATCCTTCTCCCTGGTGCTAAAAAAAAATCCGTTTACCTATTCTTTATTTCCTCCTGAGATGGGTGAAAGGGAAACATGCATTTATTTCTCTTTTCCTGTGCTGAAATCCTGGGTAAGTAACCCCACACCAATTTGTCTCTGCCCCACAGTCTGATTCCCATGATTTTCTGATTTTCCATCCAGGGAGACATCAAGGTTGACATCATTATTTTCCCAAGGTCTTTGCTACACCCTGAAGTCTGCCAGATTATTGTTCCTAGAAAAGGAACAGATTTTTTTTAATGGATGGTGTTGTGTGGGAATGAGTGTCCGAGAGTCCTTTATGGCATGTTCATTTCCTCCTCAGTTTAAAGTTTTCCTCTTTTTTTAAGGTATATTCCTGTTGCCACTTGCTTTTCCTGAAGGGWAATTGAAAATTGCCAAATAATGAGCTCTCACAAAGGCTTTCCACAATTACTGGAATATAAGATCTTTTGGAGAGCAGTGTGAAATTCATAACAAAATATGGTGTATTTCAGAAATACCAACAAATTAACACTGTAACTGTTACGGGAAAAGAACAACATGAAGTATTTTACTGAGTTAATAAAAAAAATTAAATTTGAAGGAGGTTGGAACTCGGTGATCTTTTAAGGTCTTTTCCAGCCTAGGCCAATTGATGATTTTATTAAATCATTGTTAATGCTTTATTTCAGCTATGTTCTGAATGAAATATTTTTTTTTTTTTTACACAAAAGCAACCTTTTATTTTAAAGAATTCTACTCCACAGGTTAATAATATGCAGATTTCATATATATATGCATATACTAGATGTACTTAATTTATAAAAATGTCTYTATTTTTCAATAYRTTGTTACCARTATGTTGGCCTAGATRSARCTTTAGCCWTGGTTATGTTGGAAAATTCAYCTCACAGAGAACCATCTCAAAATWARGATTTTTTTTTCCCTCCTTAGCTTTGCTTTTGCCTTCAGTATCCTGGATTAAAAAAAAAATAATGTTAAACTCTGCTGTGCCTCTTTGGGAGAGGCTCTGGCAAGGTGTGGCTTTTGAAGGTGTCTTGATGTGTCACCAGAACCCCAGGTGAWGTGCTGAGAACTCTTCTCTGTCCCCCCAGTGCTCAACAAAGACATCACCACGTGCAGGACCTCGACCATCACGGGCACCCTGAAGCGCCCGTCGCTGCCGGACGAGGAGAAGTTGAAACTCAACCACCAGAAAGGCTCCTCCAACTTCAACAGTCTTCCAGCCAACGTCTCCAAGATGCACCTCCAGGGCTCCCCGCAYTACCTGGGGGCCATCAACCTCAACGAGTTCAGCAACCACTCCCTCACTCTGAAGAAGGACAAGAGCCAGCCGCCGAAATCCATCTACATCTGCGACGGGGACATCTTCAAGAAGTTGGACTCGGAGCTCTCCCGGGCTCAAGAGCAGACCCTGGACACCAGCTACGTGATCCTGCCCACCAACACGTCCACCTTGAGGGCCAAACCCAAGGATGAGAGCAAATACAGCATCAACATCGACCAGATGCCTCAGACGCGGCTCATCCACCTCAGCATGGCYACCGACCCCGGCTTCGTGGTCAAGAGTCCTCCGCGGGAGCCGGTGGCCATGGCGTGCAGCGAGGTGCAGGGTTCCTCCATGATCCAGCAGCAGCAGCAGCTGGCTCCACAGAGCATCTCCAACGAGTCACAGATCCCCAACAGTCTGTGCGAAGCGGGTGACTCGGGGAACTCGGGCGTGGTGTCCAAGAGCGAGACCGTCTCCACCCTGTCCATGAGCTCCTTGGAGGTGAGCGTGGGGATTGCAGCGTTTTTCTTGGTTCAGGAGGGGTGTTCTGCCCTCAATCTGGCCTCTCCAGGGGATTGAAAAGAAGAACTTTAGGGAAAATATAGCCCAGGATGCAGTGCCAATGTCCTATTACCCTGAGGGACCACTGGCGTGTGGTAATTTTCTGGAATGTGTTGTTTAAAATCTCTCACAACTTCCAAGACACATTCCATTGTTGGATTAATTCTCTTCAGCCCTACAGCTGCTGCAAAGTCAAAGAAAATTGTTAATTTGTCAAAGACTGTTCGTTTTAATGCAAGGCACATGGCCTGCCTTAGTTTTTCTCTGTTTATCCTCTGCCCCTATTTCCCATTTTGATGGTTTCAGTYATGACACAGATGAGAAAACCCCRGTGATCCAGGCTGGACWGGGCTTGGAGCAACCACGTTTAGTGCAAGGTGTCCCTGCCCATGACAGGGGTTGGAACTGGATGATCTTTAAGGTCCCTTCCAACCTRAATKRTTYAAAAATTCCAAATATTTGGCACTTCCCATTGTGAAGAGCCAGAAAAAGACATTCAGGTTTTAGGAAGAAGGGAAAGAAGGCCTCTCCCTGGTTTARTCTCTTACTAACCTTCACCCATCTCTTTCTCTCCCCAATACCCAGAGGCGGAAATCCCGGTACGCAGAGTTAGATTTTGAGGTAAGTACATCCCTTTCTCAATGTTGGTCCTAAATTTTTTGAGCCTCCCTCCCTAGTTATCTTACCCTTAGCAGAGCACAGAAAGTCCATATTCATCCTGCTCATATATGGAAAGGGAAATCTTTCTAGAAATTGTGCTGCCTCTGCTTCTGGGCAGAAGAAGGTAGAAGTAAAATGCAGATGGTTTAAATTAAAAAAAAAAAAAAAACAGTGGGGAGCAGTTTCTGATGAAATTACCCAAATTTGACATTTTTTGGGTGAGCTCTGAACACATTTACACAAGGGTCAAACTTAGGACGGTCTGGGTCTGGGGTCAGGTATCAGTTAAAGATGGACAACAAACTTTCCTGGATATTGACAGTCAAATTCTGGGGCATAAAAATTTGATTGTTGCAAGTTTAGGGTTAACCATAAGATCAAAAATTAGTAATTTCCGCTTTCTCCCTCCATCTCACCATAAAAATAAAGGCAGTGCTACGCCGGGTCCCCAGAAAATGTTGGCAGTATTTTGGGCACCTGCAGGGAGACAGAACTGGGATTTCATGATGTAACTCTGGGGGGAGGACTGTGTTCTTCAAAAATSGAGTTTGCTGACCTGGAGGCCTTTGTGTTCATTCCAGAAAATCATGCACACACGGAAACGTCACCAAGACATGTTCCAGGACCTGAACAGAAAACTCCAGCACGCAGAGAAGGAGAAGGACTCTCCGACAACGGACAGCAAGGTTAGTCAGACACTTCCAGAAAGCTTCTGGAAAACAGCAGGAAAGTTTAGGAGCACTCCCTGAACTCTTTTCCTTGATTTTCTATCCATCTGTGTCACACCACACAGCAGCCCAGGAGGAGGATCTCTCTCCCCATCTCTGTCTGTGGTGTTGCCTTCCCTGTGTCTGTTCCTTGCCTTTCCTTCCAGGTCATCCCTCTGTGCCCTGTTCATCCACTCCTAGGCAGGAACTGGAAATTRGATTAATCATTAGGAAATCTGGGTGGAAAGTGGAGAGGGCAGAAAGAGGGGACAAGAGGAATTATCTCCCCTCCCTTATGGGGTGAGGCAGAGGCCAGGGTGGTGGTGATGGGATATTTAGGACGGCCACAGCAATGGGATTGAAGGTCTGGGGCACCTCTCCCATGAGGAAAGACTGAGAAAATTYGGWTTGTTCAGCCTGGAGAAGGCTCCATGTTGACATCATTGTGGCCTTTTAGTCCCTACAGGAGCTGGTGAGGGATTTGGGCAAGATCATGGAGTTACAGGATTGTGACAACCAACAAAAGGCAAGGGTTTTAACCAAAAAGAAAGTAAGGTTAGATTAAATATCGGGGAAAAAATTCAAAGCCACCACACTTGCGAGGGTGGTGAGGCCCTGGCACAGGTTTCCCAGAGAAGCTGTGGCTCCCCCATCCCTGGAAGCATCCACAGCCAGGTTGGACAGGGCTTGGAGCCACCTGGGATAGTGGAATGTGTCCCTGCCCATGGCAGGGGGTTGGAAGGGGATAATTTTTACAGTCTTTTCTAACCCAAACCATTCTGTGATCCTATGACACAGATGGAGCAAAGTTCCAGGGAAAAGGGGACTTTAAAGGAGACAGACTTAGGGAAGGACCTTCCAGCCTTTCAGGGRTCTTCAGCCTTTCAGAGATCTGGGGCTGAAAACCGATACCAGGAGCCTGTGTAGTGTTGTAGGTAATAATGTTGTAGATAATAAGGTAAGAGCAGGCAGATGGCACCTTCCACGTGTCTCAGCCAGCTGGGCAAGGACTGAAAGGATGTGAGGAATTCTGTCAGCTCCAGCTAAAAGGGAAAAAACAAGTGGCAGAGCCAGGTTGGCAGTCAGAAATTAAATTTGGGGTTGCTTGCACTCGGGAGAAGAAAAAGGTGAGATAATTGTAACAATTCTTGGTGATTTGTGATCAAAGCCCCTCACCACAAGAAAGAGAGAAATTGAGGTTTTGGAGAGAGAAGGGCCACAAAGATGGGAAAGAGTGTGGAGCACAARTCTGATGAGAATCTGAGGGAGCTGGGGGGGCTCAGCCTGAAGAAAAGGAGGCTCAGGGGGGACTTYCTTGCTCTCCACAASTCCCTGGCAGGAGGGTGGAGCTGGGGGCAGTCGGTCTCTTCTCACAGGTAAAATGTGATAGAATGAGAGGAACCAGCTCCAGTTGCACCAGGGGAGGTTCAGGTTGGATATTTGGAAAAATTCTTTCACTGAAAGGGTGACCAAGCATTGGACCAGGCTGCCCAGGGAAGAGGTGGAATCACCATCCCTGGGAGTGTTAAAAAATCCGTGGAGATGTGGCACTTGGGGCCATGGTTTAGTGGTGGCCTCGGCTGTTGGATCTGGGATTTGGGTGGTGTTTTCCAACCTTAATGATTCCATGATCCTGAGACAGCTCCGGGATGCAGCGTCCCCTGCCATGTGGCAAATGTGTCACTGCTGGGGCTTCTTTAGATGGGACTCTCTTGGAGGCAAGAGCAGAGCTCAGAGGGTGACTAAATCAGAAGTTTGGGGTTTTTCTGGGGAAGGAGAGCACTACAGAGTCTTTGGTCCATGTTCTGACCTCCCAGCATTCCTTTGCTGAAATCCATGGTGTTATCCCAGCAAATCCTGCTTTGATTGCATGTCTCAAGGTGTCATTATGGGCTGTGCAGTGTACCAGAGCGAGGGGGCAGTGGATTTAACAGGTTCAGACCAAAGAACCCCGCCCTGGCCCCAAACCCCAGTGCRTCTCACTGATTGTCACCTGTGCTTTKTTTTTTYGKTTTTTTGCAATTATTTAAGTATGACGCAGCTGTAAAACCCAAAAATGCTTGAATCCTGCATAAAAGCTAATCTGTGGTCTATTTGCAAGAGGGCTTTATAGATTGGGAAGGTTTTAGCATTTCAGAGATGCGTCTGTGTAGAATTAAAGTTGCCGCTGTCAGCATCAAAGGGCTCTGAGCTGSCGAAAAAGGCTCTGAAGGTGGYTTTTGCATATTGACTGAAGCTTTYTTCAAGTTTAATTTTTTCCCTTGGATGTGATGGGAGAGGGGGAACTCGTGAAGATCAGGATTGGGTATTGGTTTAAAAAAACATCCGAAGCATCAAAAAGTCAAATAAATAGGTTTTTTCCCCCCACTTTTTTCTACTGTTTGCTGCTGAGGACCCTGCTGGAACTCAGGCCCCATCTTCAGCTCACCCTGAGAAGGCAAAGAGCAGATAGCAAGGATTAAAATAACAACAAAAGAATGTTTTCTCTTTTATTCATGTTTAGGTTCTAAAACCATGGAGTGTTTCTTCTGGTGGCAGTGTTAAATCAAACCTTAGAGTAAGTTCTGGTTTTCATTTATACTGAGCAGYATCCTGGACCTGTCCCAGCCCCTTCCATGACACAAATCCAAACACGTTCTTTCCCCAGCACAAAACTCCTTGCCTTGTGGGCATGAACAAGATCATGAGAATCGTGGAATAGCCCTGAACCCTTCCTCATCCCAGAGCTGAGGGGATATTTCCCAGATCTGGTCCATCTGCCTGCCTTGCTGCTCTCTCTGATTTCCCTTTGAAATAAACAGCCCCAAAGTCAAGCTCCCGAGTCTCTCTCCAAGCCTGGCATTGTCCCAACCTCTCCTGGCAGCACATCCCATTGTCCTCAGTCCTTTCCAAGATACAATGCTTTTCCTGATCTTCTTGCTGTTCCTCTCTCTTTCCTCAACTCCAAGGTCAGAAAATTGCTGGTGAAACTGGGATTAAATATCTGCATAGGACAGGCATCCTGTGGGGATTCCTAGGAATGGTGCTGGCCATTTTTAGGGATCAGTTTGGGGTTTGATTTCAATGTAAATTCCATCCCCACTATACTCCAGTGCACTTTAAACACACATTAAACACAGTTCCTTTCACGTGAACTCCCATATTGTCAGATTTTACGGAAACACCAGCAGAAGAATGGGATGAAGGAACAGTTCTTTTATCTCTTCAGGTAAAGTGGTTGAAAACTCAACCATCACATTTATTTGMTGTTGAGAATTTCTCCAGCTTCAGTGGTGAAACATGATTTTATAACTCCTTTTTAAGGAGTTTTCAGCCAAGACACAGAAGGTTGTACAAACAGATGTGTTCCTCCTTTTTAAGTACCCTGACACAAGGAAACTTGGGATGAGTTTTGGTGCTGTGCACACTTGGAAGATAAAGAAGAATCTTCTTTGCTCACAGTCCGAGAGTAGTCTCTGGCAAAGTTGGAAATAAAATCGGGACTCATGGGATCATTAGGGTTGAAAAAGACCTCAAAGATCATCAGGTCCAGCCATTAACCCACCACTAAACCCTGTCCCCAAGTGAGACAAATAAAAATTCTTCCCAGGATRTGACTCCACCACTGCCTTGGGAAAACTGTTCCAATTCTTCTCAGCGCTTTCAGTGAAGAAATTTTTCCTAATAATCCAACCTAAACCTCCCCTGGCACAACTTGTGTATATTTCCTTTTGTCCAGTCACTTAATCCCTGGGAAAATGGACAGACCCCCACCTAGATACAACTTTCTTCCAGGGTCTTGTAGGGAAATTTAAGGTGGAGGTGGGCTTGGGGATGAATTCTCCTTTTCTGTCTGGGTTGTTATCCATTTGGGGATGAATTCTCCTTTTCTGTCTGGGTTATTATTCATTTGAGGATGAATTCTCCTTTTCCATCCATGAATTCTCCTGGGATTAGGGTGTCCCCACTGCCATCAGCTCCCTAATGAGTGGGGCTGGTGTGTCAGAGGGAGGCAATCATGGGAACCAGGATATTGCCTGGAATTCCAGGCAGGTCTGAATCTTGCTCCTATCCCAGGCATTCCCAGGAATATGGCACCGGTGTTTGCTGCAATTCTTTTGCTGGAAACCCAAGCACATTCCTAAGGCTGACCTAAGTTGAACTCAGAGTACAATAGTGAAGAACTGCTTTTCTTTGGGGAATAAACATGGATTTTTCCATGTTTTCTTTTCCAGTTTATTACATAAAATCCATTCCGTGTGATGTGCAGTTTCTTATATCYGTACCTCAACTACAAAATGCTCCCACTGGAAGCACCCTCAGCTATTCCTGATTAAAATAACATTTTTTTCTAGCTAGATCCATGTTAAAAACACACAGAACTACACATCCAGGTGGTGTTCAGGCTTTGGTCGCCTCATCCCTGCAGCACAGAAATGTGATCACACTCAAAATGGCTTTAAGCTAAAGGAGGAAGATTTAGATGGGATATTAGGAAAAAATTCTTCCTTGTGTGGGTGGGGAGGCCCTGGCACAGGTTTCCTAGAGAAGATGTGGATTCCCAAACCCTGGAAGTGTCCAAGGCTAGGTTGGACAGAGTTTGGAGCAACCTGGGATAGTGGGAGGTGTCCCTGCCCATGGCAGGGGTTGGAATGMGATATCTTGAAGGTCCCTTCTAACCCAAACCATTTTAGGATTTTTGACTGTATGGACTAATCAGGGGTGTAGACRCCATTTCCCAAAATTCATTTTTCCATGCTGGTGAATTAAGATAGGAGTAGGATGACATCCAGCACGATATGATGTTACTCCAAGTTGAAATGTGAGGATTTTTATTGCACTGATGGATCTCTGCATGACCTTACCAAGATCCGGGCAGGTCCCTTCCATTTCTGGATATTCCATGGTAATTTTTTTCTCCTTTGCTGTCTTCAGATGAGGKAGGCAAAGAAAGTGGAGATGATTTTTTTTCCTTACTCAGAAGGAAGTTTCGGGGTTGT